TCTATGCACTTTGCAAACGGAACCCCATGGAGGCCATAACATGATGTAAGGGCACCTCTGGTGGGACTCTATAGGGCTCCATTTCCATAGTATATGGAAACAAAACCCTACACCTGTCTTCAGGAGTTGAGTGTTACATGTTGCTTTCCAGGACAGGAATAACCCTCTGACTTTAAAACACCACACTTTGAATAGGGAACGTGTTGTGAACCAGAAGCCTTAACAGATGCAAACAAAGTTTATTAACAAACAAAAATAGCGTAGAAACACTTGAATTCAGTGAGTCTAGCAATAAAACAAAGTCTGTAGCAACTGCTAGGCAAAAAGCGCAACTTGGCGAATAACCTGGATTATACGGAGATATAATCCGGTATAACAAAAAATTCAGCAAACTGCTTGAAAATAACAGAGTTCATGAAGCACAACAAAACAAGGTGGGAGCAAGCAAAAACGAAGTCAGGAAACAGTCCAGGGTCAAAACACGTCCAAAAGTTGTAGTAGAAGTCCAAAATGCAATGTCGTCATCAAGAAGCAATCCGAAGTCAGCAGGTAGAAGTCAGTACTTACAGGATACCAAGCGGTTGAAACATGGAAGCACAGCGATCTGCAGTCCCAGGACCCAAAGTGACAGTAAAGGCAGCAACAAAGTCCCAAGCCCAATACAACTCTTTGCCTACTGCAAAGTTCCAATAGTTTGATACCTTACTTTTACCATATAATTCCTCATCAGAGGTGGAGCTGGACTCCACTCTGTCGTCATCACTCTCAGGTGCTTTCACTTCCACAGCTGCTCGCCACCGCCCGTCCCTCCAGCTCTTCCAGCGTCTATCAAGACTTAGATCACCCCATGTATTTCCAGGTTGCCAGTCTCCCGAGAACCCCTCAAACTCCTCACTTGAGGTGGGTTGAGTACATATGTCCCTGATCTCTTGTACACGGGTCCAATCTAGTCCATCCTCCTCCCCGTCATCACTTCTAGTCCCATCACTCCCCGTGAACCCCATGAAGTCCTCTTCAGTCGGAGCATTAAGTATTTCACAGATCCTTTCCGTTCCCTCTCTTCATCTCACTCTTGATCCCGAGTAACCTGCTTCAAACCTCTACCTTCCTCTCCCTCCTCCTCCAGTTCAGAATCTGTAAACCCTTCAAATGACTCACTATCTGTAGGTGTCATGAATATTTCCCTAATTCGCTTCCTTTGCTGCTCTTGATCCAGCACCTGAGCAGCTCTCTTTCCCCTTCTACTACTCGTTGTAGCTTGCTCAGCACACTCTACTACAACAGAAAGCAATCCTTTTATTGAAGATAAGTAAAAACAGCAAAGTTAAAAGGAATAGGTAAATCCAATTAGGTAAAAAGATAAGCAGGAATAAATTAGTCCAAGGTAGAGTTCAGCAATGTCCAAAACCCAAGTCTACAACTCTATAACAAAATCCAAAGAACTAGGAAATGTTGATCCAAGGCATGAGCAGATAATTACAAGAGACAAAACAAACAAACAAACAAACAAACAAACCAGGAAACAAGAAATCCTTCCAGGCAAGGCTTCTATGAGACAAGGACTTAGCAGGATTCTAAACGATGCTTCATCTGACTATATTTTCCATGCTTGGAACTTTTAAGCCTTTCCAAGCACTCAGGAACTGGTTTCACTTTCCTTGAGTGGCCCTTATCTTTTTCTGTTTGAGCCTGGCAGAACGCCGAAGGCATTGCTCAGCCTGTCTGTTTTGACTAATTTCCCCCGCCTATCTATATGCTCATTAGTTTCTGCAGGTGCTGAGTTGTTTTCAAGCCCCAAATCCTGGGAACTCTCTGGGAGCAATTCAGGGAGTAAACCATCATCCCTATACCCTGTAGGAACATTCTCATGGGAAACTACACTTTGAACAGGTGTCTCTGTGTCATTCTCTGCATCAATATCACTGACCAAACCACTGCCATCTTGAACCTCATTTACATCATTTCCCACATCCAAAGCACCTTGATCCTGAAACACAATCACAGGCTGAAATTCAACATTACCTGACTCCAAAGGAAGAAAAGCATGAGGAAGTGGGAGAAAGAAGGGTATCTATGTGGCCAGAGCCAGCCCTAGGTAATTTTCAACGGTAAGCAAACAGTATTTTGCCCCCCCCCCCAACCAATCACTGATATATATTTTCTGTTTTGTGGGAGTTCTGTGTGCCATATTTGGTTCAATTCCATCATTGGTGGAGTTCAGAATGCTCTTTGATTGTAGGTGAACTATACATCCCAGTAACTACAACTCGCATATGTCAAGGTCTATTTTTCCCCCAAAGCACCTCAAGAGCACCCCTGGGCAAAATCAACTATACTGCAAATGCTTACTTTGCATAATGGGTTGAGCCACCCCTGTATGTGGCACAAGATGGGGAAAGACAGGGTAAGATGGTTCCCTCCACTTTCCCCCCACTTATGGGTTGAAGTCCTGAGGTTGCACCTGTGAGCCCAAGCTTTGCTAGGTCTATCCTTCGATCACAATGAAGTTTTGGATCACAGATTAGCAATTATTGCCACACAATGCCATTCTTTGCCTTGAATGAGAGAATCAAGTAGTTGGTTTTGTAACTGTACACAAGTACACATTGAACAAGATATGTAAACAAGAGTGGGCAATTACGGCAATTACGATGTTTTTGAAGGGCAACTCTTGCCATTGGCTATGTTGGCTAGTCCACTGGGAACTTTAGTCTACACCTGGATGGACACAGTTGCCAAATGTTGACATAGAACAGTGATTCCCAAAATCTGGTTCTCAATGTATTGTAGTCTCCTTCTATGCTGCCATATAATCCAGTTCAAAGCAGATAATCTGGATTTTATATGTCACTGTAGGAGGAGCCTGAGGCCTGCATCGCAAGCGTGATTGGTGTGGGCGAGGGATAGGGCCTTCTCGGTGGTGGCCCCTCGACTCTGGAACTCTCTCCCTAAGGACATCAGGCAGGCCCCGTCGCTATCTTTAGGAGGAGCTTGAAAATGTGTGTTCCAGTGTGCCTTTCCAGAATAAGGAAATTCCTAGCATTATGTCCCAACGCACTTTATCGGAGATCTAGGATATCTGCATGCCCATCCCCCTCCAAACACCCCACCTGGTCATGCCCAGCACTTTTTAACTTAATTATTACATTTGGCCCTGCCATTAATTTTAATTGCGTCATGGTGTGTTGTTAATGTTATTGCTTTGTTTTTTGAGTTACTTTGCTGTTGTTGTTGTTATTGTTTTTTACTATTGTATGTGGGCTCGGCCTCTTGTAAGCCGCACCGAGTCCTTTGGGAGATGGTAGCGGGGTACAAATAAAGGATTATTATTATTATTATTATTATTATTATTATTATTATTATTCAGCTGATACAAGGGTTTAACGCATTGCTCCACCATGGCTCCCTTGGAATCTGCAATAAACAAACTAGTCAAAATGACAATGCAATAAAAAGGCTTTGGTTTATCACAAGTGATGCGAGTTTAAGATAAACAAAATATAATTTACTGCAGCAGTAATTTGTGTATTGGGAAAGTAGCTCTAAATGGGTCAGTAGCAAAGGGAAATGGTAAGAAACTGCTTTTGCCCAGTACGACTTCGTATGTGTAAAATTGACATAAACCAGGAAGTAGAAAATGCATTTCTAAAATCGACAAATGAAACCAGTTAGAGAGGAAATGCAAGGTCTGGGATATAATTCAGCAATGTTGGCTGAATCATATCTTCACAGTGTGGCTGTGAAGACAGCAAACACCACATTGAATTGCATAAAAAGAAGGACGGGGAGTAGAGAAAAAGTGAAATGGCAGCACCTTTAAGGCTAACTAGTTTTTATTTTTGCATGAGTGTGCAGGTACAACTGCACCAGGAGCTCCAATTTTGTTTGTTTTGCATTTAATGTTTGTTATAGTCCTAAGTTTCAGGGACTCTGCAGATAGGTGGCTTCTTTTGGCTGCAATCATAGGGCAAGCCACCTGTCAATTATAGTTAGGTTCCCTGGTCCCGCCCCCTTTTTGGTTTTGGAGGGAATAGGAGCCATTTTGGGTTCAGTCCACACAGAGAAGCCTTTCATGCAGGACATAATACCAAGAGCTCCTGTAGAAAGCTTCGTCTTCTACGGCTTGACCGGGGAGATATACAGTCCACAGCTTGGCCAGGGTTATACAGCCCTACAGCTCCTTTGCTGAAGGACTTCAGCCAGCCATCACGGAAACCTGAATTCTTTTCCCCCTGGAAGTCTACAAAGCTCTGCTTGGTAAGGGTCACTCACGGAAGCCAGAAGCAGTTGGTGCCGGGTGCAGGGGCTCCATGTCAACAGAGGCAAAGACAGACTGTCCAGATTAGAAGTTAAGGATTTCCCCATTAGTTAATGTACAGTTTATGAAGATAGTGCCTGTTCCCTGTGGACAAGATTGAGAGAGAGCCAATAGACTGTTAAGAAAGCCTTAAAGTACCTGTTTGTTTTCATTAATAAAGAACTTTGTTGAACCTTTAAGCAATCTAAAGACTCTGTTTTAAGGAAATCCAAAGGCCTTTAATCTGAGGCAGCCCCGGCGTCCCGTTGGGCACACAGAATTTATGTCCTGTCTACAGTGTTATGCACAGGCCCAGCGTGCGACAGCACAATGAACTCTTGTAAATATAAGACCACTTTTTTACCACAGTACGAGTGATAATAATGAATGTTCAGGTATAAAGCATATTCACTTCTGCCTAACACAGTTTGGAAACATTTTCTGCTGCCTAAAAATTGGAGTTCTACATTTATGGAAAAGGACAGTTTGACAATGAGCCGAGTGCTCATTGAGGTGGCTTAACAACAATGTTGTGCAATCATGAAGGGTTTAATTCATATCTATGGAGTTTATAATGCATGCTACAAGCCTCATGTGACAATCTCCTAAAATGTATTAAGAAAAAAAAAACCTTATGAACTTTTGTTTCCAACATATATTCAATTTAAATCCATCCTCATGTCGTTTCTGCCGTTCCTTGAAGGGATTGGAGCTCCTTGCCAAAAACCTGCCCATTGTGGTCTCATCTGCGGAGGTTGGAAGAAATAGTGGAAAAAGAAAAGAAGATGTTACTGTGTGAAGCACATTTAAAATTCAGCGAATGAAGCAGACTGATGGTGTACAAGGGTTGAATGAAAAGTAATGCCTCCACCTTCGTAACTCCTCAACAGATGGCAGTACTGGTATGCGGCAGGTACTGGCTTGTTCAGTAGACTCTCCTCTACAGTTCCATTTTGGTGGAAGCCTTAACATTGAAGTGCAAAGTATGGAACCCTGAGCAGTTGGTCAATGCGACTTAAGCAATGTGCAGTCATTGAATTCTGGACATCAGAAGGTGTTACCCCAAAGGAAATTCATCAAAGAATGCAAGCTGTTTATGGTGATTATGTTGATGTGAGGGGACATCATTATGCTTTTGATGAAGACATTGAGAGAACTGTGAGATGCTGGTTGTGGAAACAGAGTGTCGACTTCTTCTGTGACGGCTTCAGAAAACTGGTTCATCGTTGGCAGAAATGTATCCAATTGTCTGGTGATTATGTGGAAAAACGAATAGTGGTAGTTAAAGAGCACATTCTAAGGATTAATTCTGCATTTGATTTATTAAAATATTCCCATCCAAACCCAAGTAACGAAGGTGGAGGCACTACTTTTCATTCAGCCATTACCACTGCAACCCCTTATGTTTTGCACCCAGGCCAAAATGCACCCACTTCCTTTGGGTCTGCCCCATGGCCTTCTGTGAATGCTATCCTCACCCCAAGAAACAGTGGCTTTAGATATTAGCTTAAAGAAACATGAGAGTAGGCACAATTAAGTTGAATGTCATCATATTGCACTTCCAGTGTAAGGGGGGAAAATAGTTTTGCTTAGGGCAAGTGTCGCAATCTGTTTCTGCATCCAGAGTTTCCTTATTCCCTTACCTTTTGCGACTTTTGGAACATTACATAAGAAGTACTTCAGGAGGAAGTGCAGTTCATTGGCACTTTCTCTTCCACGGTTTTTAAAAATCATATCAAGACATTCCAGCTGAAATACGGATAAAACTGTGTTTCAAGAGGTTATAATGATTTGTGCAGTCTCTCTGAAGGATCTCCCTCTGAACGGACTATGCCAGTATTGCTCAAATTGGCTTGTATCATTTACTTAGCTCTGCTCCGGATTGAATTAGGTATCTTTATTGAAAAATAGCCTCAATGCATGTTTAAGCATTAAAATGAATGTATATGTCCATGACAAAACTCATCACAATATTCACATACGTAAAGAAAGAGAGGGAGAACTAGCTGGTTGCTCTGAAAACCGGAGCAAATATTGGTGCAACTGTTGTGATAGAGTCTGCTAGCAATGATAGTAATGCTGGTAGTATTAGAAGAAGCAGGAAAACTACTCGTGAGCAAGACTCTGTTGAAGAGCAACAGAGGAAAAGAATCCGGGAGATACTTAGTGAGCCAACGGATAAGGATTCTTTTGAAGGTTTTGATGCGGATGATATGCTGGATGATGGGATATCAGACTCTGGGTCTGATGGAATGAATTGGACAAGGGTTCAAGAGTTTCGGGATATATGTGCTGAACCCACAAGCAGTGGCACTTTTGAAGGTTGGAATAGTGGAGACACGGATGGGTCTTGGGGATCTTCAGGATTAGACCAGAGATGGACTAATTGGAGGAGTGGTGGAAGGGCCACAGCTGGGGATGGGTCGGGTCGGATTAGGGGCGACTCCAGTTCAGACGAGGAACTGCAACAACAAGGTGCAGCTGGGGCAGGGGCATTGGCTGAGTCAAACTCTGAGGATGAGTTGTAGATAAAATGGGTGCTTTTGCAATTGTAACTTTGCAATCGGCAAGGCGTTTGTTGGGCGCTTCCTGGATCGTTGTGTGGCTGAAGACGGGTTTGGAAGAAGACTTTGGGACGTAAGTTATGCTCCGGGTTTAAGCAGCAACGGGGGCTGGAACTGTGTGGGTTTCTGCTGGACTGCACTGTTTTGATATTTACATTAGCTGCCGTATTGCCTCCGTTGCTTTGGCTTCTTGTGACATCCTTTGGATCGGGACCGGACGTTGCTGCTACTCATTCCCTTTCGGACTGGACTGGACTGGACCAGACTTCAACCATTGGCGAAACTCTCCCTCCCACGATTTTGGCTGTGTTCCTGGTGTTGGCGTTACTCTTCTACCCGCGACTTGGCTTTGGATATTGGCGTAGTGTTCTCTGTGGTGTGCTGGGGCTTGCGTTACTTTTTGTAGCCCTGGCAAGGCTGCCGCTCACTGGAGTGAGCAGCAAACATTGTTCAATAGTTCTCTTGTTTCAGTCATTTGACGGAGCAAGTCTGAGCTGAATTTAAGCATTTTAAATTTAATCTGGATTATATCTCTGGATAATTCAGTTTATACTCTGGTCTAGTTTTTTGGGTTTTTTTTTGTCTTTTGAGCTGTTTCACACTGAAGATTAAGTGTTTTATTCCTTGTAGACTGATTTGGGGCTGTTTTGAGTTTGTTTGAGCAATAAACTTTATTATCTGAATTGGCTGGCATCTGACCTTGACAACAACACTATACACCTTATTTAGTTTTTTATATTGCCACGAACTCATGGCATCTCAGTCTGTCGAGATTTTAAAATATATTATCTGCCCTTCATCTTTAAAAGAAAATGTTAAATTACATTGGTTAAAACGACAGTTGGCTTTCCACATTTGCAGGTTTAAATGTTGCAGATTTGATTAAAATGTTCTCTCTAGGAATGTTTAAAGTTCAGTTTTGGTAGAACTTGTCCATGGAGTCTTTCCCAAAAATGTTCTCTTTGTGATTTTACACTTTCACGGCTAATGAAGAGATCCCACTCCTGACACTATATTCTAGTATGCTTTATTCCTTCCCATTTAAATAAAAATCATTGCATAGATATATAATTTATTTATACAGTTTTATACTTAAAAATCTCACCAACCTGGATTTCCCGATCTCCTCTCTCCACCCATCACCTTGCTCTCCTCTCCTCTTAAAAAACATATTGCAGTTCTCTTTGCTAAAAAGGTTTATAGTTGGGCCACAAAGTCACTGCAAGCAATATTAATAGCCCTGAGTTAAAGTGCACTTAATAACTCTGGACATGCTTTAAAATGGAAGCAAGGGTTATACTGCTTATCTAAGTCTATGTAGAAACATGGCTCTTCTAACATCAATTACTTTATGGTTCCTTGCATCTTTCTTTTGGGTATCATAAAAAAAGGTAACTTTGGTGGTATTTACCATATAAAAGACAGTGAAATAGTTAGAACCAACTTAAAAATTAGTAAAAGGCATTCACCCATTGATGTTGGTGCACAGATGTTTACACGAAAATGAACCCATGCTTGCCACACCACACCAAGGCAGTTTCTGCCCTGATTTTGTCTTTCTCCTATAATGTTTTGGAGGAGGAAGTAAACTACCTCGTTCTATTTTTTGTATTTGTTAACCTTAACACAACTGTTCTTCACAGATACAGCATAAGTCCACAATCCAGAAGATATAACTAGTAAAATTTGAACAGGAGTAAATGAACAAGAACACAGAAAACTTCCAGGATATTAAAATCCAAAATCAAAGCTTGACTTGAACCAGGAAAAAGAGAACTTAGGCTTAGCTTCTCACTCTAATGCAACATGACCTATACTGACCTTAAGGTAAACAGCTTGTTGTCTAACAGACACCCATGAAATCATTCCGTTTCGTATGAATTTCCTTCTCAACTTTCCCACGTAATCTTTCTGAACGATGCAATCTATTTTCGGCTCTGATTTGTAAATTAAGACTTTTGTTGATCTCCGTTGCTACAGGTGAATTTTCATGAAAGTCCTCCTTCTCACAAAGCTCTTCACTCAATTCCTTATCTGCTGTTGCTACTTCTGACTCCCCTGAATGCCCTTGAGGCCCTGCACTTTCTGAGCCAGTTCTTCTCACAGAGAGAACCATCATTTCCCAGACTTGAATTTCCCAGACCTGAGAGCCCATCATTTTGTGCCACAAGAAAGCTCACAATCCTCTCTAAATCATCCGTTAAACCATCAGTCCCTGGTTGATCTACAACAAATATTATGGTGGTATATTATTTTTCTTATCACACACACTGATCCGTCTGTGTTACATTTAGAATACGAAGGTTCAACAGAAAGAAGGTTAAATACATGGTCATGTATTTCTATTTTTCTTTCCCTGATTATGCTTGCTCAGGTAAGAAGAGGCACGGTTAGATAACCTTTTAACGAACTGGGTTTTTAAAGTGAAAACAATTGTCTATGATTTCAGTAATATAGAACGTTGTCACCATAACGAAACCATGCAATGTGAAACACAGTACTTAGTGATTGTTCATCATCCATGTGGTTAGTTAGAAATGAATAAAGAGTGAATACTATTGAGTTCAACAATTTATTTCCTTTACAGCTTAGTAGTACAAAAGGTGGGATCCTAGTTCTATGGATTTTAGCAACTTTATTTAATTGTTCAGTAGCTAAAAATGTCAAAGATACAGCTGCTAATGTGAAAGAATGAAAGAAAAAAGAATTCACAAAAACACACATATGCATCACACCCTAATACACCAAATCCATATATCTCTTCTCTCTTGGAAGAGAGCTGTTATTCTCTATAGATGTATGGGGATGCAGTGACCAGCAAAGCTGGGCTTATATACCCATAAATTCCGGCATATAAGATGACTGGGCGTATAAGACAACCCCCAACTTTTCCAGTTAAAATATAGAGTTTGGGATATACTCGCCATATAAGACTACTCCTCTTCCAGCGCACATCAAATAAATTTTTTTAAAGCATCAGATTTGATTTCAATATGGTAATTTTCCTATTACTGTATCTCTTTCTCTGCCTCTCAGATCTCACACATGCGCACCTGCACCACTTCACTGCAGTCTTCAGGAGCGAAATCTGAGAGGTGGAGGAGGAGGTATGGTAATAGGATACAAGGGTGGGCCAGACAGGTAATAGAGGTGTGTTTTTCTGGGCCCAGACCCACTCTATCTCTTTTCTCCATACCCCGGGCGCCCCGGACGCCTGCAGCTTGCTCCGCCCTTCACTGACATCTTTCCAGTGAGGCGCCCCTTCACTTCACCATTGGGACCTCATTAAGTCCACAAATCCTGATGAATGGATTTTCTTCTACCCTTCTTGTACAGCGGTGCCCTTAATACTTTCATACAGTTGCTGTA